AATATTTGTAATGTTCAGAGATTGTGTTAGAGACGTCCCTATCCGATCACGTGATTTCAAAAGATCGGAATCGGGAGAAAAAGAATCGGGGATCAGGTATTTTTAATTTTTAAAAATACTTTTTAAAATTTTGTATTCAATGTTACAAACAAAAATGACCATGTTCAAGTCTTAAAGTCATCCTGAGGCCTTAGTTTTGGTTTCAAATTACACAACATCATGTATGTGTTGCTTCTTTGGGGCTTTTTTTCATAGACCTGGTTGCTTATTTCTCTCAAATCTGGCAACAGAGTGGGCAGGGCGCAGTGTCTAATTGTAGCAGTAAGCTAACGAGTACTGATAAGCTTTATTTTGTTTTGATCCAATGCTGCACAACTGAACTGATCCAATGCTGCTGTGAAAAAAAGAAGCTATATCCATGTTGGATAGAATATCCAATTTAAATAAAAAAATAACCTTAAGGGACAACTTGAATGTTTTTTTTCTTTTTTTTCTCTTAATGCATTGCATAAAGATCGGATCGGGAAAGATCGGCAAATTGTCAAAATCAAATGATCGGAATCGGATCGGGAGCAAAAAAAGGTGATCGGGACATCCCTAATGATATTTATTCCGTTTGGAGATTTTTTGGTATGAAAATATTGAAAAACTTTCTTATGAATAAATCAGAATGTCAGATTTGCCTAGCATCGCTCAATATTAAATTGGCAGTGATATATTCGACTTTTAGATATCTGAGGGGGTGTGCAACATTGTGTGACCCTGTAAAGCAGCGGAGCAGCAACTGCTCAGAATCTCTGCCTCTGCGTGAAACTGTATCTGCCCACACAAGAGGCACTGAATGCAACAAAAAAAGGCCTGACAATGACCTCATGTTTAAAAATAGAAGAGATTAATTCCTCAGGGGCATACAGTAAATAGATTAACTAATACATCAAATTTGAAAACCAAGCATGTTTGCAAAGGTTGTTTATGATGTCCAGCTACAGGCCGCTGTGATGTTGCCCTGTAACGCTCTCATTTCTTCTCCTGCTTTATATTTCTCACATTCTTAATAATAGTGGAAATAAGTGGACTGCCCTCTCACAAAACACTGTTCTGTGGGATTCACACACAATTCACTACAGTTATGATTATTATGAAAGAAGATGCACACAAATAATTTAAAGCCGGGACAGAAAACGACATGCCAGTTATCTTTTACTATATAATGTAAAAACTCTCAAAGCACTAAAAAAAATGTTGATCTACTTTTCTAATTGGCTGCTGTTTAATTATAGATGCAAGATAATTGGCCATTTATATTAATGACACAGCTATCCAAAAGAAACTACATGCATTTTTTATGCAAATGACACAGTTGGTGAGGACAATCTTTCTGTTTATTTGGCCTCAGTTAGTTTTAGATAAAACAAATCTTATGTCACACGAAATAAGCTCCAATTGTATGGGGTTACTTTTGATGATATACACGCTGCCTCCGTTTATCATAAAGATGCGGTAATATTTATGCCGATGACCTACTTTTTAAAATACTGGAAAAAAATCTGTATTGTCTAGTGAGGGAAAACCTCAAATGTATCTTGAGAATGAACACGTTATGAATCTCATCTTGACAAACCGATCTGAATAGATCCAACATATCAAAGTATTTAATAAACCCCACAGATTGTAGGATTTTCACCTTGAATAGCATCTTTTACAGAATAGCAAAAACTCTTAACCAAAAGCAGACTTTTTCTATTTTTCTAAAGCTTTGTGGATATTTTCCTCTTAAACAGTTAACGCCTTCACACAGATAAGAATAGCGTGCCAATGCAAAGTGCCTTTTGAATGTTTATTTGATCACATTTAAAGTCATCATTGTCCACCCCTGGCTTCACAACACAGGGTGCACATGCCAACAACATTGCTTTCAGGGAGTTTAGATTTCACACAACTGCATGTAAAAGACTGAATGAATAAATGTTATAATTTCCTGTAGTATTTTTGCACATCAGAGAGGAACACTAGCTACACAAGGCGTATGATGGGTTAGTGATATGGTTCACTGCAGCACAAAGAAAGTGTGAATGGCAGGAACTGAAAAAAAAAGCTTGTTCAAGAGGGATTTTGAGAATCAGCACTATGGGGGGCCCACATTCACAGCCCCATTCCTTTGTTGAATGCTGCCCATGTAGCCAGGCTTCTAACAGTCATATCTCATCCATCTATCATCACAACCCGTCTGTCTCTCTGTCAAAAAGGCTCTTCAGTTATTCCAACCATGAACACAACAACAAGGCAACAATTATCAACAAACACACTATATAGTGTAATAAAAGTAAGTGGGGGCATCCATTTCGTTTGTTTCGGTACATGCTTTTCTCTGGGACCACTATGCAGCGCCGTTAACTATATCAATAAGCATTTTCTCATTATGTACAATAACAGAGAGAATGGCTACCAAAACAACAGACATCCTGCAAATAAGTGCTCATCTTCTGACGCTGCAATGAACACATCATTCAATATTATGAAAGACACCTTTTAAAATCAACACTAAATATTCTTACAAATAATGTGTTTGATTATTTTCCAGCATGTATAATTAACATCAGAAACAATACTCAGTTCCATGGATGGCATCATGAGCTGCTAAAATTCATATATTTGATCAATCTGCAACCGCAAGTTTATAAAATACTATGAAATTGTTTTCTCCTCAGTCACAGGAAGATTGTGTGTGTGTGTGTGTGTGTGTGTGTGTGTCTGTGTGTCTGTGTGTGTGTGTGTGTTAGGGCTGCACGATTTGGGGAAATATCTGACAGATATTGAGATTGCAATTCGATTTGCGATATTTGTTTTTAAGCGACCGAGCAGAAGTTTATTGTAAAATGCGGCCATATCTCCGGCTAGGAAGGTCGTATCAACGTGCTCCCGTCTCTAGCACCCCCGCAGCCCGAGCTACAAGTGAAATAACTAAACTTACATGTAACTTCCGTTGGGTTGCTTTAAAGTCAAGCTTCAGTTTAAGACTCACCGTGTAATAGAAACATGTGATGGAGCATTACTAAC